GAGACAGATCCAGTCTCCAAAACGTCGTGGTTTTTTGTCTTTTTGTCTTTTACATACCAGACAATGGGTGAAGTCCAAAATAAGCCAAAAGAAGTACAACTATGCTAATGCATGCCCCATTTCTGATCTTCAGCAAAATCAGCTCTTTCCCACATTATACATCTACGCACTCGTATGTAGGTATAGAATTTATACCAGCATCATGATATATTGATAAACATCATAATTTTTTTTGTGAATTGAAACAAAATCAATAAAATGGTAATACAGGTAAATGTTTTCAAAGACAGAATGTGCAACTCTTCATCAGTCCCCAGTAAATCTGAAAAATGTGTTTAGCAATGAGAGAATCTGTCCAAATCTGTGCAATTCTGTATAACTCCAAGCTAACCTAATTTACCAGTATTATATTCTGATATACACCAGACCTGCCCAAACAAGTGTAGACAGATGATCAAATGGAGGCATAGTGACATTCACAGGCTAGGTGTGATGAGTATGTTTATTACAAATATTGAAGAAATTATACATATTAGAAAATTTAAAGAGATCCAGCTAGTGTCTGATTCATATAAGCATGAATGATTTCAGAGTATAACGAATTAAAAATTTTCAGTTTCAAATTTTGTAAATTTTTTAAAATATCCCAAATTTGAACCATTTCAAAAATGTAATACTTGAATCTTGAATCTTATTTATTACTTTCTCCCAAATATATATAGTAGTGTATAATGTGTGTTTTAATTGGTACAAGAAGTACAGGTGGAATTGACTGTAACCTTTATTGGCTTGCCTTTCAGCATTTTATTAGCATGTATATGGATAAATGATACAAACTCCGTCCTAAGTGCAAACAATATATATTATATGTCTTTGATCTTGTTCTTTCTACACTACATGTTTCGGCCTCTATCGGCCATCATCAGGTGTATACTCTTAACGTTGCTGCCACACTGAACCCAGTCTAAAATTTAACATTTTAAAAACACAATGTCACATTCTTCGTAATATCAACATCTACATCGTTGATATGTGTCTGGTATGTAGATTATGTTGCACATGTCAAATCTGATATTCTTATAGTAGCACTCTAAAAATCTTTAGTTATGATGTTTTTAAAATCTTTTAAAATTTTTTTTAAATTTAAAATTTAAAATTCTTAGGGTTACTCGCCCTATGTCTAAGTGCTGGAGCGGCTAGTTCTTGTTTTCACACTGTACAGGTGTTATTTAATGTAGTCTTCTTGTGTGGGTGCCGCTGCTTGTCTGTACTACGTGTGCTGTCTGCTGTATTGTGTCATAACTAAAGATTTTTAGAGTGCTACTATAAGAATATCAGATTTGACATGTGCAACATAATCTACATACCAGACACATATCAACGATGTAGATGTTGATATTACGAAGAATGTGACATTGTGTTTTTAAAATGTTAAATTTTAGACTGGGTTCAGTGTGGCAGCAACGTTAAGAGTATACACCTGATGATGGCCGATAGAGGCCGAAACATGTAGTGTAGAAAGAACAAGATCAAAGACATATAATATATATTGTTTGCACTTAGGACGGAGTTTGTATCATTTATCGTGTAGAGTGCAACAGGATGCTTAAATATAATATATGTATATGGAGTCCAGCTGGATGAGAGTTACATTTTCATAACAGTAATATTGTTACCCTGGGCCTAAATATGGCAGCCAGCCCAGTGGCATCTGGGATTTAAAAGATCCTATTTCTGTAAACAAGAACCTAATAAAGAACTGTAAAGCATAAATTAAGACTACTGTCATAATGATATTCTGCATAAGAGTCTTCATTTTCCTTGTCATTAAACTTACTTGAGTTTTCCTGTGTTTTTTGATATTGCAAGTTGACATGTAGGACAGCATCTCATCCCTCCTGCTCTCTCTGAATCAACTGTTGTCATGCTGCGCCACAAACTGCAAAGAGCAGTTCAGTTCATTGTGTTAAGAAGTTAATATTTTGATGCTATTGTTCTTGGAGGAGCGCGCATATAAAATGAACCTTGTAGCTGTGTATGTTTAAAGTGGACTTAATCCAAAGAATGAATCCTTATTAAATTACCCACTTGTAGTTTACAGTCATGATTGAGTGATAAATGGCAGATACCAAGAATTGTTTTTATATATGTACAGCTTGTTCTTACAGTTGTTCTGTTCTATAATCATGGTTACATGTGTGTGCACACACACACACACAGACAAGGCCTTGTGTAACATCATATCCTACCATCTGCATAAAGAAACTGTGGAAAACCACAAGAAATCTCAAGTTAAGATATCTTCTGTCTTAGTACAGTTTCAAACCAAAGACATTCCAGATACAAAATAGAATTGCTAACCACTTGACTGCAATTGTTTTTTATGACTGAAGGCAGACATTAATCTCTAATGGCCTATTCAGGGTCACCTTTATGTTAGTAATTTGTTTAGTATAATTGTAGTGCATTTTTTTGGATGAAATATAAGGAAAGAATGAGTAGGTAGTGGCATAGTGGTTGTTGGATGGATTGTTCTTGTTAAATATAAAATATAATAATTGAGGCATATTTGGTGCATGTCTCAGAAATTGTCTGTAGTGAGTCTAAAAAAGTGCATGTGTGTGAAATAAATGCCACTGGGTTTGTGATTCTTAGTCCAGATGGAGTAGCTGTAGTGACACTGAAATCGTGGTAGTGGCATTGTTAAATAAACCTATAATTTTGCTGCCAAATTTTTTAAGTATAGCATATTGAGTTGCTAAATATTTTAGTGTCATATATGAACCCTAGGAATAAGGCCTAAATGTTTTCTGCTACTAACTATATTCGGGTAACAAGGTTTGGGAAAGAAAAGGCTTATATCTCTAATGCCCAAAAAATATATCTACAGGAAGGAAGGGAGGGGCACACAGTAGCATAGTTGGTTGAAGGGCTATGCTACAAGCTGGAAGGTCGTGGGTTCAAGTCCTGATGAGGTCATTGGATTTTTTCAATTTACCTAATCCTTCCAGCCACACTATGGCCCTGGGGCTCACTCAGCCTCTAACAGAAATGAGGACCAGGAATTAATTAAATAATTTTCCTGGGGAGTAAAGCACGGCCAGTGCGTAAGGCTGACAACCTTACCGCCTTCTTTGAGCCGATTGTGTAGATAATGTGGGACCCTCAGCGTCTCACAACCCTATGGGCCTTCATGGCCTGGTACAGGGATAGCTTTACTTTTTTACTTTGCTGTACTTTACAGGAAGGAAAGGGAAGGTATATTCAGACGGGATACACATTGATCATTTTTTGCAGATCAAGTCAATTTCTGAGATGTTTTGTTTTATGAATATTGTGTTTGACTCTTGTGCCAACAGTGAGGGTTTGAAATTCATAATGCAGAGCATTGTACACATTCACTGTTGACCGAGCTGATCAAGAATAAATACACACATGCTATCTTTCCTTTGCATTTTGTTAAATATTTCAGAAAGAGGCAAAATTTTGGGGAGTAATGTTTTTTAAATTTGGAAATTTTGTAAAAAAAAAAGGAAATTCCTTTTTTCATCTTATCTCCTTTCACCGTTTATAGTGGAAAGGAGCTATATAATTGGTAAATTGGTGTTTGTTACTGGACTTTTTTTTTTTCATTTTTGTTAAATGCGTCTAGAAGTGTTGTATCAAGAGGTATTCCAAATAAATGTTACAGATCTTAATGAGATTGTATATTTTATGCCATTTTTTCATGATACACTTTTGAGAAAATGGGTAAATTTTATATGAGTTTCATTTGAAGCAACTGCTAATAGTTATTACATTTTTTATGAATATTGGAATTTGTTGACAGATTTTAACAAAACTGCCCAGAATCAGATATCATCAAAATATGTACACTTGTTCTCAAACATGCAGAAAAACAGACAGATGGACACAACCTCTCCTCATGCACTTTGTGTAAGGGCTGTAGCATAATATAACATGGATATGCATAAATTATGTAGGACTGAATAAAGATATGAGGTTGAGCTTATTATGAAGAGTGACATAGAAGTGATTGGAGGAAATGTACAAAACCTTTACAGCAACTGATGAAAATTTAAATTTGAACCTTAAATCTGCCAGATAGAGAGCACACCCCCTCCTTGGTGTCTCCACCTTATTGTGGTGAGGGGGTTTGAGTATGCCAAGGACCCTGAGAGCTATACCAGCGGTAGCGTAGCTACTGGCAGGGCCTCCCTTGCTGGACAGGTCAAAGGGTAGGCATCAGACGAAGAGAGACACCAAAAACTGATGTCGGAAGCAGCGTCATCAGCAGCGACTTGAAGCACAGAGCAAATGATGCTCGAGATGGTTCAAGTTCGTATAGCAACAGGCGTGACCAGAGTGGTTTGAACGGCTGTTGTACTGCGATGTGGAAAGCAAATGGAAAAACTACCACATTATCACTTTTCCTGGATAGTCTCTTTCCAAAAACAGAAGATCGCATTAAGTGGAGAAACTGTTTTGGAAGAGACTGTGGACCTGTCGCCTGACAGATTACTGATGATGATGATGAGAGAGCACAAGTGGAAACATTACAAAATATGGTTAGGAATGGAAATCAATTTTATAGTCTTTGGCACACCTTATTCGTTGACTGTACACAGTGAAATCCAAATGCCCCATAAATCTTGTATTTATGGTGTAAATAGAACATTACAAGTGATATGTATAAAAGTGAAGAAATAAATTAATATGAGGAATGCCGTATTGTGGGATGTGGCGCCATGTAAATCATGAGTGAACCGACGTTTCGGAGGAACATATCGCCTCCGTCTTCAGGGTAGAAAAATCCGCAATCGAGGAACCAGCGTGAGCAGCCATCTCGCTCACGGATTTTTCTAACCTGAAGATGGAGGCGATACGTTCCTCCGAGTGTTCGGTTCACACAATATCTACACAGCGCCACATCCCAGTAGACGGCGTTCTTCATAGTCACCGCTGTGTAAACCTCAAATCTTACACCGTAAATTAGTAAGTTGGCAAAAACCAGTAATGTATTGTCACGTGTTTGTAACTAGACACGGGCTTTGGAATGATTACCGAATTCGTTGGTGGCTATATAAATAGCTGCACCACACCCTAAATCTAGGAGCTAGGATTGCTCAGTTAATATTGTGATGGGGTATGGGTTGGGCAGCTGAGATTTGATTCCCGGCAGGGGAAGGAGATTTTTCTGTACTTCACAGAGTCCATACTGGCTCTGTGGCCAACTCAGCCACTGACCACTCACTTCCATCTACTGCCAAGGTCAAGAATGGTGGACCTACGCTTCCACTCCCCTATACATCTTCATGGCGTAGTTCTTAAATAATTAAGCACAGGGACACCTTTACCTGTCACACCCTAAGTGTTCTCAGTCTGCTATGTCTTCCCGTAGTCGTTGCTTGGTAGAGGCTTTCAACACTGGGGACTCCTTTTAGGGCTAACAGCCAACCACTGACTGCCGTCTTCACCACTCCACATGTAACTTTATAAAACTTCAGCACACACCTTGTAGGAAACACAATTTCCAACAATTCCTCTGTTATTGAATGCGGGTCCGTTGCCGAGGGAACGTGTTTGCCGAGCCGTTCTCTACAAATAGGCGTTGCGTTGCTCTGATTCCACTATTTTAGCCTTCAGACATCATGTCACACACATGCCGGCCGCATCACGGAACTGTAGTTTATCAGTTGTTTTTCTGCAGTTTCAGCAGAAAAGAAAGGATTATTCCATTCTAATACAACACTAAGTCATCTCAGTCCGATTTCACTATTCTTTTCTTGGTTACCGCTCTCAACAATGGTTACACCTGTACAATGTTTTTTCTAGGCGTATCCTGGTAACGAATCACTAGCTTATATACGTAGGTCGTACCGAAGGTCATGAGCAACTTTTTTTTTTGCATGCAACCTGGGAACAGCAGACGAAAGAGAGTACGGTGGTAGGTGGAACCAGCTGTTGTGTTAACCTTGAGTGTTTTGTGACGTCAATAGCTTGCATCACGTGACCAGTATCACTCCTAACAAAATGGCCGACAACCATATGTCGTTTCGCCAGCGTGCTGTTATCGAATTTCTTGTGAAAGAGGAAATCCCTGCTGCAGAAATTCACCAGAGACTTCAGCGTGCTTATGGAAGTGTGTGCATGGGTGCGAGCAGTGTTCGAAGATGGGTGAAACATTTTAAAGATGGGAACACCAGCATCTAATATGAGCCTCGGAGCGGTCGTCCACGAACAGCCTCAACTGAACGCAACAAGGAAAGAGTGGATGAGATCATTCAAGATGACAGGCATGTGACTGTGGACACAGTAGCCCGAAAACTTGGAATAGGGCACAGTGCAGTACAGGAGATGACTGAAAGCTTGGGCTATAGGAAAGTTTGTGCTCGTTGGGTCCCGCGGTTGTTGACCGAAGACCACAAAGGTCACATTGTAAGCAATTTCAAAGATGGGGTGGGAAGTTCTTCCACGCCCCTCCAATAACCGTGATCTGGCACCCTCCGACTACCATCTTTTCGGATTTGTGAAGGATCAGCTGCGTGGACAACGTTTTGAGACAAGGGAGACAATTCAGAAAGCGGTGCGCCAGTGTCTTCGGATGGCTGGAACGGAATTTTCAAACTCCCAGAACGCTGGGAGAAATGTGTACAAAAAGTGGCGATTATTTGGAAAAATAAAGAAAGGTCTGTAGATTGAGGTGGTGTATTTGGTTTGTCAATAATAAAGCATGTTACTTTACAAAAAATTGTTGCTCATGACTTTCAGTACGACTTTACTCTTCGAGCTCTTCAGGGACATACACGTAATTCTGAATGTGTTGAAAGGTGTAATTATACCCGGAGGATTCTTAGAATTGTGAGGTGAACAACACTTGATACAGGATGATAAAGTGGTGTGTTTTGATAAATAAACCTTTTTGAAGAATACCCCAAC